GCCTAAGTCTGTCAAACATGATGTTGTGATCAATGGTGTCAAAAGCAGCGCTAAGGTCCAGGAATACCAGAGCACATACCTTCATCAGCAGACATTAAAAGGTCATTGGTGACTTTAAGCAGGGTAGTCTCAGTGCTGTGGTACTTCCTGAAACCAGACTGAAACTTTTCAAATAATTTGTCATTTATATACGCTCACCTAAAGGATTATTAGGAACACCTGTTCAATTTTCTAATCACCAATCACATGGCAGTTGCTTCAATGCATTTAGGGGTGTGGTCCTGGTCAAGACAATCTCCTGAACTCCAAACTGAAAGTCAGAATGGGAAAGAAAGGTGATTTAAGCAATTTTGAGCGTGGCATGGATGTTGGTGCCAAACAGGCCGGTCTGAGTATTTCACAATCTGCTCAGTTACTGGGATTTTCACGCACAACCATTTCTAGGGTTTACAAAAAATGGTGTGAAAAGGGAAAAACATCCAGTATGCGGCAGTCCTGTGGGCAAAAATGCCTTGTTGATGCTAGAGGTCAGAGGAGAATGGGCCGACTGATTCAAGCTGATAGAAGAGCAACTTTGACTGAAATAACCACTCGTTACAACCGAGGTATGCAGCAAAGCATTTTTGAAGCCACAACACGCACAACCTTGAGGTGGATGGGCTACAACAGCAGAAGACCCCACCGGGTACCACTCATCTCCACTACAAATAGGAAAAAGAGGCTACAATTTGCAAGAGCTCACCAAAATTAGACAGTTGAAGACTGGAAAAATGAGTCTGATGAGTCTCGATTTCTGTTGAGACATTCAGATGGTAGAGTCAGAATTTGGTGTAAACAGAATGAGAACATGGATCCATCATGCCTTGTTACCGCTGTGCAGGCTGGTGGTGGTGGTGTAATGGTGTGGGGGATGTTTTCTTGGCACACTTTAGGCCCCTTAGTGCCAATTGGGCATCGTTTAAATGCCACGGCCTACCTGAGCATTGTTTCTGACCATGTCCATCCCTTTATGGCCACCATGTACCCATCCTCTGATGGCTACTTCCAGCAGGATAATGCACCATGTCACAAAGCTCGAATCATTTCAAATTGGTTTCTTGAACATGACAATGAGTTCACTGTACTAAAATGGCCCCCACAGTCACCAGATCTCAACCCAATAGAGCATCTTTGGGATGTGGTGGAACGGGAGCTTCGTGCCCTGGATGTGCATCCCACAAATCTCCATCAACCGCAAGATGCTATCTTATCAATATGGGCCAACATTTCTAAAGAATGCCTTCAGCACCTTGTTGAATCAATGCCACGTAGAATTAAGGCAGTTCTGAGGGCAAAAGGGGTCAAACACAGTATTAGTATGGTGTGTGTATGAGTGTATATCTGGTTGGACACAATTCTTTCTAGAATCTTTGCAATAAAAGGCAGTTTTGAAGTTGGTCTACAATTTTGATGGAGGGAGGGATCAAAACCAGGTTTCTTTAAAAGTGGGCTCACGCAAGCCGTTTTAAAATAATCAGGAACACAACCAGTAGATAGGGAGCTGTTAAAAACAGAGATCAAATGGGGCCCAACAGAATCCATTACTTTCAGTAAAAACTTTGTAGGTATTTCATCAAGTGGGCTGGAGGACACTCTCATTTGTGATACTGTTTTTAAAAGCTCAGACAAGTCAATGGGATAAAACTGGTTAAAACTCTCTTGTTGCTGGTGAGGAACCTCTGAGTAAGAGGCCGCGGGGGTAATAGAGGCTCTGATTGACACCACCTTATTGGTAAAATAAGATAAAAACAATTCACAGTCGTCATTACTTCCAGCTGAGGCACAAGGAGGGGTTGGGTTTACCAGCTGATCCACAGTCTTAAACAGAAACCTGGGATTGTGTTTATGTGTAGTAATGAGTTCAGAAAAATAGTGTGTTCTCGCATCCTTAACCATGTTATTGTAGTTAATAAATAAATCCTTCAGACTGAGGTAATGGACTTGGAGACTGGATTTTTTTCCGTCTGCGCTCTGCTTTCCTGCATTCCCTTTTGAGGCTGCAAATGCTGTCATTTATCCAGGGTTGCTTACTAGCTTTAGACGTAGGCCTAACCTTTAGAGGAGCAGTAATATTTAGTGACGACAAGCAGATATGATTGAAGTGATCGACCAGATTGTTGGTGTTGGAATCAGACAGGTGTTGGCTTTGGCTCTGAAAGAAGAGCGTTAAAGAAACAGATGTTTCTGGTTATGGAGTCACCAATTATTAGTGTGGTTGGGGAGAAAAGGCGACAAGGAGATGCCGTTTGTGGGGTTCCAGAGCAGGACTGAGCAGAATCTTCTTCAACACTGCGTGCGGACTGAGGATGGAGTGTGTGAGCTGCCGAGTGTTGTGTTGGAGTAGCAGTAACAGACCTGAGAGAAGGGCTACCCGACGGTGCAGGGTAGAGAAGGCCTCCGGAGTGTCTGAGCACAGCCTCCTTCAGGATCCTACGTCGGGAAGTGGAGGTTTTTGACTGGGATGACGGCCGATGATCAGGCCCAGCGGCAGACCGGCAGCCCAGCTGATCACCGTTTGCCGCCAGTGCGGGAGATGTAGCCGGTGGAGGAGATGCAACAGTGTCGGCAGGCACTATCCGCCGAAAGGGATCCGTATCAGGGAGACTTGAAGCCGCAGGTGCATCCGCTGGATGAACCGGAGTGTCGTCAGACAGGGCTGCATAGCGGTTGGAGAGGCCGATGTGCGGAGGAGAGGCAGCCCCGTCCGAGCCTCTCTTGCAGCCACGGACCACCACTTCAGCCCAGATTGACTGATGCTTCGGAGTCGAGCAAGAGGAAAGCCTTGGAAGGGTAGAGGGGTCATAGCACGTTGTCCTGGATGTTAGCGGTTGAGCTAAGAGAAACAATCTGTTTGGCTTGTACTGAAGTGACATCCATAAAGCCATCATCAACAGGGAATCTTTCTCTTCCCGTCGTCGGATGTCTTCCGTAAGGTCAGCAATCTTTTTGTTCGCTTTCTTAAGGAGTGTAAAGTCCTCATGGGGCAGAGTTATCTTGGCTAGCATAGTCACCGGAGCTTTGTTGTGGTCAGTAGCGTTGATGGCATTTTCACGACCATCTAGCTTAAAATCCATGTCGGATGACTAAAATCCTTAACCTACGTAAAACTTAAGTTAAATAAAAAGGATATAAAAAATGTAACGACAAAGTGTGGAATAAAACTGGATAAGAGTCCGGTTGAAGACAGAGCTTCCGACAGGTGGCTACACTTGTAATGAGTGGTTATTTGAGTTACTGTTACCTTTCTGCCATCTCGAACCAGTCTGCCCATTCGTCTCTTACTTCTGATGTCTACAAGGCATTTTGGGCCATACAACTGCCGCTCACTGGATATTTTCTTTGACCATTCTCTGTAAACCCTAACGATGGTTGTGCATGAAAATCCCAGTAGATCAGCAGTTTCTGAAATACTCAGACCAGCCCGTCTGGCACCAATAACCATGCCACGTTCAAAGTCACTTAAATCCCCTTTCTTCCCCATTCTGAGGCTCGGTTTGAACTTCTACATCTACTGTACATTCCTAAATACATTGAGTTGCTGCCATGTTATTGGCTGATTAGCTATTTGTGTTAACAAGTAATTGAACAGGTGTACCTAATAAAGTGGCCGGTGAGGGTGTGCAGGTTTCTTAAATGTTGCATAAGAGTGAATATATCGCCAACCTCTTCTATGTAAAACTCTAAATCCATCAAGCTACTAGGTATTGATGATCATTTCCAAATTGATAGTTTAGTGTATCTTATGACACTAAATGAGGTAATTGGTTATCAGTTTTCTTTAAGAGTGGCGCCCCGACATGAATTTAACACAGTTAAATTCTATTTTTATTATATTACATAATATTAATTACATTATTTAATGTAACTATTGATGTCATTTAAACCGTAAGTCCAAACAATTATGTTATTATACATTTTTGGAGATATAATAAGTTATAACTTACAAGAAATATAAATTTACAAGAAATTTCATGGAAATAAAAGAAAAGATAATTTGATTCCAATTATATGGACAAAAGTAGAAACACTGTTGGATTAATTCCAGTAATTAATGGATATTTACTTAAATTAAAATGGAACTTTTCAATCTAAAAAAATCCTTTCTTCTCTATATTTAGAACCATATTACATAGGCTGTAGGCTGCATTTACTGTGTAGTGCACAAAATGCCCCCACCCAGTTTTATTTAAGTGTTAAAAATTCCAATAATTGCGCAAACTGTAATGTAGATGTGTCAAATCTAATAGATATAGAATTACACTTCGTACTCCTCTACAGCTGTCAGTGATGACGCAAAATGACAATGAGTGTATAGGGGTAAATCGATGTCAATATCATTGTAAATGCATGAGTCACAAATATATATTTCAATTTGTAAACACAAAACGCAATCTACAAATAGATTCAATATCCACAAAATTAGTGTTTACTCATCATGAACCACAAATAGAAATCCGTGACTTGTTCTTGAAAATCAGAATTTCAATGAAGGAAAAATGATTTGTCTGCAACTGTGGGTCAAATACTATTTATAGATTGTTTTGCATTTCTATTCAGAATTTTGACAATACTGTTTTGCATTGGAGAAGGTGGAAGCAAAGAATGCTTGGTATTTCTCCTTAACAACATCACTAGCATTGTTTATTCTGCATTATGTGATGTAAAGTGACTCCACCCCAGCTGACTGAAAATCACCTTTTTGAAACAAAAACATCCTCTGCCTCTTTCTTCCTTACTGATATTCCCTATCTTCCACCTCCTTGTATTCCTCCTCCCATCTACTCTTTACTCCATCAGATAAAGACACTGGTATAGATAGAAGACACGTAAATGCAACAACAGCATTTCTCTTTTGTTCTTGTTATCCCTCCATCTTCCTACCACTTGTCTAGTCCTCCCTTATACTTTCTCTGCGGAACATAAACAGCCAATCGTCTCTCCCTCCCTCCATCATGATATACCTCCTCTCCGTTGCGGTAGATGAGCAGGTCAAAGGGAATAGCAGCCACCATGTCGATGAGGAACCAACCTTTGAAGTAGTGGACGGCTATACGCACCGGGTGGCTCACCACCTCATCATTAGTGTTCACGTATGTTGTCCTGAGAAGAAGAGTGTAGATTATATAAAAAATTACTGACATTAGTAGTTGATTTTCTGAAACTTTTCACAGCACATGTTTTAGAAGTAAGCCAGTGAAAACTACTTTGTACCATTAACTATTTTACTAATACCTCTACCAGGTTAATTCTTTAACAATGAGCTTTATTAACATTAATGAGGACAGAGCACTGGATTTAGGAATTCGACTTGCAGCATTTTTGTATTTACTATGACTAATTCGGCTACGGCTACTGCTGAAGCTGTTTCTACTAGAACAACACTGCTACTATTGTTACTACTAATACAATTACTACTACTATTACATACTGATGTGTCTAAAGTCAGACCTGAAGTTGATGAGGATGTCAATAATAAACATGATATCCACTATGAGGTCCACTACATTGAGAGGAGAGCAGGAGTAACCACAACTCTGCATGGCTACGTCTTCCTGAGAGAAGAGATGAAAAGAGAAGAGAGAATATATAAGCAGAGCTGAAAAAAGACAGAAAGAAATTATAATCTAATGCTCTAAACATAGAACTGTCTGTGATTACCTCCTTCAAACTGATTAGCATTAAGGGTTTCAAGATCATTTGCATACATTACATGTGTAGACAAAACAGTAGTGACACAAAAACAGCTGTTCAATAGACTTGCCTTTTTTACAATAAATTTATTGTTCTAAGAAACACTTATTTAGTCTGAATTTTCAGTGCCATGGAAATCCTCCATGTATGATATTACTTTATTTATCACTGTTTGCCAGTAGACATTCTGTCACTAAAAGGAAATCTCACAGTGGAAGACCTTAATTTACTTTTCTTTACTGTGGAAAGAAAATGTTGATGCTTAAACTTACTGTTGATACTAACTCAACAAGAGTACGTATGAAGACAGCGGTAGGCCTTTCTTGTGAAACTAACTTACCGTAGGAAGTGTTGCCCAAGTTAGCGAGGTCAGTCAACCTAGCTAACTTTAAGTTTATCAAGAAAAAATGTGAGGATGAAATAGATTTTGTTGTATCTCCAAAAAATAATACACAGAAAAAGATAACTGACGTTAAATTATACACATTAAATTGTGTTTCCTAACTAGGTTTGGTAACAAAGACCACGCCTCGGACACATTGCATTTCTGCTCTAAAGTATTTAAGCACACCTCATCCTTTTTCTTCACCTCCGACTCATTTTTCACATGACCTGCAAAAGGCTAGTATAGAACATGCTTACCTCAAACAATGGACCAGGAGCTCATTCTCAACCCTTGAGACAGCGAACATTAGAAGAAATTCACCTACTACTTTAGTCTTGGAATCCTCACCATTTCCTAACTGCGCTCAGCAGTCCATGTTCCCCAGTGCTCTCAGCTTTCATCCTCCATCAACTCAAATATACTCTGGGCTCTGCCGTCCAGCAGCTCCAGGAGCAGATCCTGCCTTCACCCCATCCAGACACTCCTCTCCGACCCACTGGAGATTCAGACGCCGAACGACAAGCTAAGCCATTAAAACCCGAATCCACTACTTGGCAAATATTCTGACCACAGCTTCAAAAGAATCGGTGTGGATAGTCGCTCACCTGAAACACACAACCAGCTAGCAAATCAGCCCTTTCCACCGGTGACAATAAAGCAAAACTATTTCAACTATTCACGGACTAGCAGCAAAACACCATTCTCCCTTCCAGAGTACCCAAGCACTTCTGGATACCTGGTAGCGTGTTTAAAACAATCCCTATGATGTCACAGCGGAAGTGTATCCTTCCACATCAGCCCTCTCAGAGGGCCAGGTTGTATCGAACTCTTCTTCTTTGTCGAGGTTTTACAGAAGTTGGCGTCCACGATGTCCATTCATTTTAAGTAAGTCTTTAAGTCCAGTTGTCCTAAAACTGAAAAACATTTCCTCCCAGTAACACTGACTTCTACATACTTGTAACATTGTCCTCTGCCATTCTACTCTTGTCTCTTTCTATTGTTTATACAAGTAGCCATGACACTCCTAAATTTAAATTCATTCTCCCCACCGCTCCATGCAATCAAGTTTATTACCATTTTATACTATACAGGTGCTGGTCATATAATTAGAATATCATCAAAAAGTTGATTTATTTCAGTAATTCCATTCAAAAAGTGAAACTTGGATATGATATTCATTCATTACACACAGACTGATATATTTCAAATGTTTATTTCATTTAATTGTGATGATTAAAACTGACAACTAAGGAAAATCCCAAAAAACAGTATCTCCGAAAATTAGAGTATTACTTAAGACCAATACAAAAAAAAGGATTTTTAGAAATGTTGGCCAACTGAAAAGTATGAACATGAAAAGTATGAGCATGTACAGCACTCCTTTTGCCTGAATTACTGCAGCTATGTGGCGTGGCATGGAGTCGATCAGTCTGTGGCACTGCTCAGGTGTTATGAGAGCCCAGGTTGCTCTGATAGTGGCCTTCAGCTCTTCTGCATTGTTGGGTCTGGCGTATTGCATCTTCCTCTTCACAATATCCCATAGATTTTCTATAGGGTTAAGGTCAGGCGAGTTTGCTGGCCAATTAAGAACAGGGATACCATGGTCCTTAAACCAGGTACTGGTAGCTTTGGCACTGTGTGCAGGTGCCAAGTCCTGTTGGAAAATGAAACGCTGTGTCTTGTTCAAGAGTGGCTTGACGCAAGGAATGCGACAGCTGAAACCCATGTCTTGCATACGTCTGTGTGTGGTGGTTGTTGAAGCACTGACTCCAGCTGCAGTCCACTCTTTGTGAATCTCCCCCACATTTTTGAATGGGTTTTGTTTCACAATCCTCTCCAGGGTGCGGTTTTCCCTATTGCTTGTACACTTTTTTCTACCACATCTTTTCCTTTCCTTCGCCTCTCTATTAATGTGCTTGGACACAGCTCTGTGAACAGCCAGCCTCTTTAGCAATAACCTTTTGTGTCTTGCCCTCTTTGTGTAAGGTGTCAATGGTCGTCTTTTGGACAGCTGTCAAGTCAGCAGACTTCCACATGATTGTGTAGCCTACAGAACTAGACTGAGAGACCATTTAAAGGCCTTTGCAGGTGTTTTGAGTTAGTTAGCTGATTAGAGTGTGGCCCCAGGTGTCTTCAATATTGAACCTTTTCACAATATTGTAATTTTCTGAGATACTGATTTTGGGGTTTTCATTAGTTGTCAGTTATGGTCATCAAAATTAAAAGGAATGAACACTTGAAATATATCAGTCTGTGTGGAATGAATGTATACATTATACAAGTTTCACTTTTTGAATGGAATTACTGAAATAAATCAACTTTTTGATGATATTCTAATTATATGACCAGCACCTGTACTGTCTAGTCATGACACAGGTCACGCGGAGGCTCCCCTGGTTTCGGCCGAGCACCAGTCATTGTCCAAGCCTCCTGCATCCCAGGTTACAAAACCCAATAGCTGACTATTTCTCATTCCATGTTTCGGAAATTCAGATATTGCCACTAGCCTCCAACCCTCTTCTGACTCAGAACTCTCCTGAAAGGCTGTTTCTGTACACCTACAATGTTTTCAAATCCATGTTCCACTGGAATTCCTCCGGCTTCTTTACTGCCTAGAATTCACCGCTTCTATCCTCAACTACTATCGATCTCAAAACACAACTACACGACTGTCTATTTCTGTCCATTCTCCTAACACTCTTTATATATACACACACACAATTGTCACAGATTTGTAAGGTTGAGCAGGTTGGAGAACCCAGACGCAGGACACTGAGCAGGTCAAGTTCAGAAAAGGTTTATTTGACCAACAAAAGGCGAGCACACTTACTTCAGAGTGACTGAATCCAAAATCCAAAATAAATGATCCACAAGAAATCCACAAAACCCAGGGAAACAGGAAGAGACAGAGCTAGGCAGGCTACACACTACAAAACACTGCAATGACTGGACAGAGACTGAACAGAAACAGCAAACATTTAACACCAGGGACTAATGAGCAGGCGGGAGAAACACAGGTGAGAGGAATCAGGACTAACGAAACAGGCAGGCAGAGAGACAGCGGGGGAAAACAGAGAGACAGGCAGGCAGGCAGGCAGATTACTAGGGGAACAGACAGAACACGTTACAAAATACCAGACAAGAATCTAACTTCAGACAATAACAGAAACCCATGTAAACAGACAAACACTGACCAACTATAAACACAGTGATCAGAACTAGAACACAGAATACAGATCAAACTAAACAAAAATAATGCAGACAAAGAACTAAGAGTTGTAGCATGACTACTTTTGATCTAATAAATTTATGAGGATTAATACAAAATTATGAATTTTAATATTCAGAGAATATTAATTCTGGGTATGGCTAATAATTATACAATTATTCACTAGTGGTCAGTTAGTTAACAATCACTCAATTATTTAAATCAATCAGTCAGTCTCATATCGAAGAGGTAAATTCTCGTGGCAATTTCTTAACTAACTAAGGTGACATAAACGCGGTTAAACATACATCAAAGAAATAAACAATGGCTAAACAATAAGAATGTGGAGTTCTATCGCGGGGAGAATTTGACTCATACGGCGGAAGAGAACTAATGAAAGTATTTAGATGACTAGGACTAAAGATAATGGATTAACAGACTATTGGACATCACTGATCACAGACTGCCTTGTTTTGCCTTACTATGGGTCGGCGGCCTGCCTTGGCCGGTTGCACGGGTCCCCACACTAGCTGCCCAATTCCTGGCTTTCTCCTAGGGAATTTTCTGGGGGGTTCTCCGTGTCTTGAATGAAGAAAAACCATCAAGTGTTGACCGTCCTCCGTCTGGCAACGAGGCTGTTCTGTTTGGATATCCTTGGGTTACTGCTGTCGGGACCACGTGGCTTGGACGGTGGTATCAATTTAAGTTAGCTTGACAAATAAAGCTTAAAAAAAAACTTGATCTTTCTTCAATTAAACTAGTGTAACTTAATGGACTGATAACTTTTAACAAAACAAAACCAAAGAAAATAAAAAGCAAGTAAAGTTGCTGGAAACGAGGGAAAGCTGAGGTTGTGGCACTTCGCGTGGGTGGCTTGAAACGAACAAAGCCTTCGCTGCGCCGGGTCGAACTTCTTAGGGCGTTGCCGGGAGATGGGGCACGCTGGGCGCATGCTGAAGCACAGTTGAAGAGGCCAAGACAAGAGCAGAACAAGAGAGCGCGAGACAGCGTGTGTAGCTGCTTTTGTCTGTTGGGGCGTGGTTCCCAGAGGGCAGTCCTTTGTTCCCCTGAGGGAGGGCTTGTTTCTGGTTTCCTGAGAGACCGTCTTTCTTTAGACATATTAAAAGTCAAAAATCTATTTGCGGGTATTCTAATCAAATATCTTCCCACAATCAAACCTTAATTGTCAAACTGTTGTACGGTTCTTAGTTTTAAGCACTTGATAAAAAGGAAAACAATTGTCAGTAGTTAGACCTTAAAAGGTTAGCATTTCATAGGAATCACATCAGATGAGAGGAACTTAACTAGCTTTCTGGATATATTGGCTGTAACACGTTCTTAGAGAATATAAGCAAGATACACAAATGGCATTAGATTATGGACAGGTAAATACAGAGTGACATTTATACATTAAACGGCATTTCAGAACGATGGCATGTAATACTTATTTTGTCCACTTGGGGGAGCTTGGGTTACATGAGGATAGCTTTGATTAACCCTAAAACAATCTTTGCTCAGGAGCTGGGGAATTTAGTTATTTAACCTTAAATTCAAGCTGGAAAATTAATCGAGTATGGGATGACATTTCTTTATCATATCCTTTCTAAAGGAAGTGTCAGAAAGTGTTGGGAACAAAGCATTGATTACAACATAAAATGAATAAAGGTCAGGGATCCTTGCTGAAAATTAAACACTGCAAAATTAACTTATTTAGATTCTTTTCAACAACAAATAACACCAACATGGTAACATAACTAATCAAATGGAGTGGAGAGACCTAGTTAAGTAACTTAAAGATTATTTAATTAAACAAGGTAATTCTTTGAGTTTTGAGGAGACAGTACTCTTTGTTTACACAAAGTTCCTCACAAATTTACATCTGGCTGTGAAAGGAGAATATCCTTTGATGTGAGGTAATTAAACAAAGAGGGAGGTCAGTTGCCATGCTTACGTGTGTGGGGGGGAGTTTAGGGTTTCCTGCCCTCTCTTAAGAAGAGTTCTGATAGGCTGTTCATGAGAAGCTAATCTCTGTTTAGTGTTTCTTTGTCATTTTAACAGTCAGCCACCAAGCGTTATCTGGCTGCAGCATCAGAGGTGGCAGGTTTTAGGATTGAACTGCCCAGAAACAGAAAGCAAACCTTTCACCTCTTCCTTTGGGTCGCTTCAGCTGTCTGTTGAGGGTTGATATCCCAAACCCCCTCCTCCTTCTCTCAGAGAGAGAGAGAAGGAATTTTAAGTCTCCAAATTATTTGATGTAAAATGCTAAGACATGAACTAAGACACTGGACTAGGAACAAAGAAATGGAACCAAAACACAGACTAAATAACAGATACTTAACTGACCAAACAAAAAACTCAGAGAAAGTCAGGACAGGATCGTAACAATGCTAGCCCAAACGCAACAAGACCAACATTACAGCCTACCTCAACCCTTTCACCTCACTCGACTAGACTCGCACCTAAGCCCTGCAAACTCACGGTCCGTACAACCCAAGACTAGCTAGTCACGTTTGCCCCTTAAGACACTCAGTTCACAGTAGGGTCTTGTCCAGCATACCATTTCTCAGAAAAGTGAGTACACCCCTCACATTTTTGTGAATATTTGATTATATCTTGACACTTTGCTACAATGTAAAGTAGTGAGTGTAAAGCGGTGTAAATTTGCTGTCCCTTCAAAATAACACATCACAGCCATTAATGTCTAAATCACTGGCAACAAAAGTGATTACACCCCTAAGTGAAATTGTCCAAATTGGGCCCAAAGTGTCAATATTTTGTGTGGTCACCATTATTTTCCAGCACTGCCTTAACCCTCTCGGGCATGGAGTTCACCAGAGCTTCACAGGTTGCAACTGGAGTCCTCTTCCACTCCTCCGTGACGATATCATGGAGCTGGTGGATGTTAGATACCTTGTGCTCCTCCACCTTCCGTTTGAGGATGCCCCACAGATGCTCAATAGGGTTGCCCAAGCAGGTCTGGAGACATGCTTGGTCTGGAGATATGCTTGGCCAGTACATCACCTTTACCCTCAGCTTCTTTAGCAAGGCAGTGGCAGCACTCATGCAGCCCCAGACCATGACCACCTTGCTTGTCTCTAGGCAAGACACACTTGTCTTTGTACTCCTCACCTGGTTGCTGCCACACACGCTTTACACCATCTGAACCAAATAAGTTTATCTTGGTCTCATCAGACCACAGGACATAGTTCCAGTAATCCATGTCCATAGTCTTTCTGTCTTCAGCAAACTGTTTGCAGGCTTTCTTGTGCATCCTCTTTAGAAGAGGCTTCCTTCTGGGACGACAACAATGCAGACCAATTTGATGCAGTGTATGGTCTGAGCACTGACAGGCTGACCCCCCACCCCTTCAACCTCTGCAGCAATGCTGGTAGCACTCATATGTCTATTTCCCAAAGACAATTTCTGGATATGGAACCTGTCCTGTCTAACCGCTGTATGGTTTTGGCCACCATGCTGCAGCACAGTTTCAGGGTCTTGGCAATCTTCTCAAAGCCTAGGCCATGGGTCTATGTAGAGCATCAAATCTTTTTTCAGATCATCAGAGAGTTCTTTGCCATGACGTGCCATGTTGAACTTCCAGTGACCGGTATGAGAGAGTGTGAGAGCGATAACATCTAATTTAAAAAACCTGCTCCCCATTCACACCTGAGACCTCGCAACACTAACAAGTCATATGACACCAGGAGGGAAAATGGCTTATTGGGCCCAATTTGGACTTTTTCACTTAGGGGAGTAGTCACTTTTGTTGCCAGCGGTGTAGACATTAATGGCTGTGTGATGTGTTGTTTTGAGGGGACAGCAAATTTACACTGTTATAAAGCTCTTTATATGCTTTACATTCTTCAGTATTGTAACATGAAATATATAATGATGATATAATCAAATATTTACAAAAATGTGAGGGGTGTACTCACTTTTGTGAGATACTGTACCTTATCAACCTCCGCAACTATACGAACAATAACAGTTTCTTCTTGGGGCTCTATCCAAAGCAGAGCACATGAAGAGATGGATCACCTGCCCTGAGTCTCGACTTCTCTGGATCCCTCCTGCCTACTTGCCACTGGCTGACACCGATCCATCGTTCTCTTCCTTCCATCCATCAATCCATCCACAACCCAGATCCCTCCCCTTAACCCTCCATACCTCACCTTTTCATTCCCTCATTCATCACCCTTATCTCTTCATCACCCTACTCTCGATTCTCATCCCCACATCCCTCTACTCCTCACAGTTCTTCCTCATCCCCACATCCCTCGAACCCTCACTCTGCTTCCTCATCACTGAATGTCTCCACTTGGACCCTTAATCCATTCTGGTATATAATCTCGGCTCTTTTCCATCCGTATCTCTAGTGGTGTGTACTTTGTTGTATTTTAGTGTATTATACAAATTATTTTAGTGAGTTAAGAAAAGGAAAAGAAAAATCATACTGAACAAAATTACTGAGCTGAACTCAAAGATCTAAGACTTTCTCTATGTACACAGAAAGCCTATTTCTCTCAAATCTGTCGAAATCTGTTAGTGAGCACTTCTCCTTTGCCGAGATAATCCATCCACCTCACAGGTGTGGCATATCAAGATGCTGATCAGACAGCATGGGTATTGCACAGGTGTGGCTTATGCTGGCCACAATAAAAGGCCACTCAAAAATCTGCAGTTCCATCACACAGCACAATGCCACAGATGTCGCAAGTTTTGAGATAGCATGAAATTGGCATGCTGACTGCAGAAATGTCCACCAGAAAGTCTTATATCTCTGAGTTCAGCGCATGATGAATGGGGGCAAAAACAAAAGTACTGCGTTTATAATTTTTTTCAGTGTATAAACTAATCTCTGCAATAGTCGTTTCCAAGAATCATATGTTTGTGATTTTACTTTTGACAGCAGGCTGATTAATGATTACATCCCAAGATGAGACCCCACCTGGTCATTGAGGAGGAATGCGGCTGAGTAGGGTGTCAGGATGGCTGTGTAAATGACCAGCAGCAGGATGAGCCAGTCCCAAACCGCCTTGAAGGGACTGTAGTGCAACACCGTCCACTTGTGGATGCGAGGAGCCTGAAGCTTGTACTCTGGTAACACATCTGCTCCCAGAGACAGCACCTGGGTAGAGAACGAGGGACAGAGCAGCAATTAGACATTGAATAATAGGAAACAGAGGAGAGAAGGCAAGTGATAAGGAAAGGGGGAGGAGAGAAGGGAAAACTAGACTATATCGCCATGTGTACATAAAGTGATAGTGTGATGGAAAATTAGTTAACAATATTGCAATTACAGTGTTACAACCAGTGTCCACTGAAGATGATGAGAACTGTGGGGAAGGCAGTGCTGACCCTCCCAGACAGACCCCCTGCCTCTTTTTTTGTCCCCATGGTGACACGAGTCCCCATCGGTCAGTGTGCATTCAGGTTAAAATCCCCACCGTGATGTAGAAACATGAAACACACACACACATGCACTCACACACACCCACCCCTTGGGGACATCTCATTGACATAATGCATAACCAGCCCAGGGGTATTCAATTATAATTCAAAGAGGTCCAGTTAGAGAAAATTTCCCGAAGCAAAGGTCCGGAACATCATAACGACTAACTTGCGTTATCATTCAGTACCATAACCTATAGTTGTATCAATTGTTGTATCATTTTTAGTCAACAACAGACTGTCAAATCAAATAATATTTCAGTCAGTTTTCACATCAAACTGGAGGGATAATAAATAATAACTACTCTAATAATACATTCTAAATTTAAGTAAACTAAAATAAAGTGCCTAATTTTTTTGAAAAAATGAAATAAAAAGTGTAGCTTCAAGTGATAAAGTGTAGTCTTAACCAATTTTATAATAAACACTCAACATATCACAACAAATGAACAGCTGTAATGCCTCTTCTCTTTCATTCCCTCTTGCAGAGCTAAGTTACCACTTTCCTACTTTCTCTTATTCAGTGAGAAACGTGAGCTCTAGTTTGTCCTGCCAGCTAGCATTGGAGATCTATGAGATATTCTGTTTTTTAACTGGCCGTGGGAGATTGATTAAAAGCCATGTGAAATCTCTTTTCCCTTTTGTCTCCTCAATTCACGTGTGTTTCCAAAACGTCTCTGGTGAATTTCGAAAATTAAACACTCGACTCGAAAGCATCGGAATGCACAGATTTGATTGGCTGAGCAGCGTCACATGAGACGATTTGAGCACATGCAATTGGTCTGTGAGTTTCCTGGTCCGCTAAACCAGTACAGTAAATGCTAGAAAAGCTGCGCAGGTTAAAATAGAAACGCTCCGTCAAGAGGTAGTAAGTCTCAATAATAAATCGGCTGTAGGTCGGCGGTCCGGAGAGGACAGCGGTCCACCTATTAGTGACCTCTGCCCTAGCCCCTTACTCTAACTCTAACCAACACAACTACATGCCTAACCTTAACCCCTACACTAACCCTAAAGCATAACCCAAGTGTACCTTGGACCTCAAAACCACATCTTAACACTCTAAAAGCAGCCTCTACACGTGGGGACCTCATACAGTCTATGGGGGACCTACAATTTTTATTCCCACTCTGACACGACTCCCCATGGGTTAGTGTGTATTCAAGTCCCCAGCGAAATGTAAGAACACTCACAGACACCTTTTCCTTTGTCTTCTGTCTCACACATACAAGCACACACCAGGAAAGAAATCTTGGGTATTATGGAGCTGTTCTAAGTAGCTTTACTTGCAGTAATGTATTCCACTGTCTGCACAGCACTTGCCCTGGATGAGAACAGGAATGAATCAGTGTAAAGAGGCATTAGCACAGCCTGCCTTGTGTCTCTGCTTACCAAAATCACACAGTGAACTGCAGAAGCTTGGCTGTTGTGCTTGAGTTGAATCATGATCTCTCAGACACAGTCTCTAAAAAAAGCACATTATGAGCATTACAGGAGTCACATGACAAAACAACCAGATGGTGTTTTTACTGTAGCTGGTGATTTTAATCACACAGATCTTACAAGTTTACCTAAATTCCACCAGCATGTCCACATCCCCACCAGGGGACGCAATACCCTGGACTATGTTTAAATAAATATTCCAGGCAGCTACAAAGCCCTCCCCCATCCCTATTTTGGTCTATTAGACCATATTTCTCTGCTTCTCTACTAACCGGCTGATTAAAAGTGTCAAAGGAGTTTAAACAGTGCGGACAGACGAATCTACAGCAACTCTACAGGACTGTTTTGAGTGCACAGACTGGCATATGTTCAGACAGCCCGCCACCAAGGAGAGCCACATCAACCTTGAGGAACATGCATCATCAGTGACATCATCACTAAGCCAATAAAATGATTCCCCAGCCAGTGAGCCTGGGTGATGAGGGCTCTATCCAGAGCAAAAAAGCTGCTATGGAGTCAAAAGCATACTGCACAGTCAGAGCAAGACTGAAAGCTGGTGTCAAGGAGGCGAGGCAAAGACATCAGCAGAGACTGAAGAGACCTCAGCGCCCCCATCATGTGTGGGTCACATTTCCAGATTAACTTAACACCTTTTATGCTCATTTTGATCTCCTCAACAAGGAGTCAGCTGTAAAGTCTACTCCACCTCCAGAGGACCAGCTACTGTCAGTATCCACAGCTGATGTGAGAAGAGTCCTGCTGAGAGTGAATATCAGTAAATCAGCTGGGTCTGCACTACAAACCTGTTCCAATCAGCTACTTGATGTTATTACTGACTATTTTTAACAACATTTTCAACTAAGCGACAATAGCCCTACAGAGGATGACATCTCCACTGCCCTCCAATCAGCCCTCACACAACTTAACCCTTAAGAGTTCCTTAAAAAAAAAAAACTTAATTGTCCCTCGTGACATAAAATGGCTCCTTCCGAAAAACTGCTGTAAAAATGTCATAAATTAATATTTTTTTTCAACTTTAAACGACTCAGTCTTTCAAAGTTACTTCAGCCTGAAATATACATATCAAACATTAATTATGTTTGGGGGATTTTAACCCTTTAAATGCCATTATGTTTACATAACTCCACTGTTATTTTATTGAAACAAAAACAAAAAAATCTAAAATAATTTTCATAAAAAACAATTCAAGGACTACTTGATTATTATCACTGATTGGCAGCAAGATTGATTTTGATGCATTGTTATTTTTTCTGCAGTGGCAGATTAAAGTTCATAATCTTAGTTTAGAATGATATATGATCATTTCCAGATTCTCCTGTGTGCTGTCTTGCCATCTCCAAAATGACTACTTGCTACTAACTCCTGCTCATACTTAGACTATTAGGTACACATGATCAATTGTTTATCAACACAAATAGCTGGTCAGCCAGTCACACGGCTGCAATTTAATGCATTTAGGCATGTAGACTTGGTCAAGACAACTTGCTGTAGTTCAAACATCAGAATGGTTGTTGGTGCCAGACAGGCTGGTCTGAGTATTTCAGAACCTGCTGAGCTACTGGGATTTACACAACCATCTCTAGGGTTTACAGAGAATGGTCTGAAAAAGAGAAAATATACAGTTGTGTGGACGAGAAATGCCTTGCTGATGTCAGAGGTCAGAGGAGAATGGGTAGACTTGTTCGAGATGACAAAGGCAAAAGAAACTCAAATAACCACTCGTCACTCGCAAGGTATGCAGAATACCATTTTTGATGCACAACACGTTGAATCCTGAAGCTGACGGGCTACAGCAGCATTAGACCACACCGGGTGCCACTCCTGTCAGCTAAGAACAGGAAACTGAGGCTACAGTTCACACAGGCTCACCAAAGCTGGACAATAGAAAATTGGAAAAACGTTGCCTGGTCTGATGAGTCTCGATTTCAGCTGCACCATTTAGATGCTCGGGTCAGATTCTGGCGTAAACAACAAACAACAAGCATGGATCCATCCTGCCTTGGATCAACGGTTGGCGGTGGTGGAATGTGTGGGGGAAATATTCTTGACACACTTTGAGCACCAGTGACCATTGTATAAATGCGACAGCCTACCTGAGTATTGTTGTTGTCCATCCCTTTATGACCACAGTGTACCCATCTTCTGATGGCTACTTCCAGCAAGATAATGCACCATGTCACAAAGCTCAAATCATCTCAAACTGGTTTCTTGAACATGACAATGAGCTCACTGAACTCCAATGGCCTCTACAGTCACTAGATCTCAATCCAATAGAGCGAAAGGGGAGATTCACATCATGAATGTGCAGCTGACAAATCTGCAGCAACTACTACTACTACATGATGCTATCATGTCAATACGGACCAAAGTCTCTTAGGAATGTGTCCAACACCTTGTTGAAAATATGCCATGAAGAATTAAGGCCCTGTCTACATGAACACGGGTATTTTCAAAACCGTGACTTTTTCTATGCGGTTTGGCCATTCGTACCGTACACATGGAAACGTAGTATCAGGTCAATGAAATCCAAACATTTTTGAAAACCCCTGCCAGGGTGAAGATTTTAATAAATGCTGCAAATGTTGCAGTCTTGTTATGTTGACAGTAAAACCAGAGTTTTTGCCTTGCGTTGTAAGAGTGCGTGCACCGTTGTCTGCTGTGTTTGATGTCAGATTGTGGGCCACTGCCTGCTTTGTTTCCGATATTATTAGGTACTGATTGGCCAACATGGCTTTACGGTTAGGGTCATATTGCCTCCTGGTGGTTTGGCATGCTCTTGGCAGCGCTTGATAGCGTGTTTTTGCATTTTCATGTAGACAGAGATTTTTTTTGAAACACAGGAAAAACTCTGGTTATAAAAATACCCGCGTCCGTGTGGACTAGGCCTAAAGCAGTTCTGCAGGCAAAAGGGTCTCCAATGTACCTAATAAAGTGGCCGGTGAGTGTTTAACCATGGCTGCTGTGCACCTGCATAAACAACCTGAATGAGAACAAAAACAATGTCCCAATTTTGTTTTGGTTCTCGCTGCTCATCGTTTTCATTCCTGAATTAGTTCATAATGCGTGTGGCCTTCAAAGAGAAAAGACTTTGAAGATGAAGTTGGACACACGCGTGCGCATACACACACACACACACGTGCACACACACACACACACACACAGACCTTTCTTTCAAACAGACACCATCATCCAACATCAATATGACACACACACATA